CGTCATGTAGACTGACGTATCTGAGAGTCAGGCTACTGAAGAACATCACAACATCACAACAATGGACAGGTGGATTGGCTGCCAACATTAAAGTGTCTCCGGTGGATCTGGACTGGCAACATAAGGGTGAATTATTTCAGTGGGCCCAAGACACCTCAGGTCATCACGGAAAAGATGCAACAGAAATATGGGCTCGTGATCGAGGGGAGGACTTAACTGCAGACTTTATCTTTCAAGTTGTCCATAACTGTGAAATATGCACTGCAATCAAGCAGGCCAAGTGGGTAAAGCCTCTATGGAATGGTGGATAAAAATTGAAATATAAATATGGGGAGGCCTGGCAGATTGATTGCATCACAATCCAAAGCAAGTGCTGCGTGCTGACAATGGTGGAAACAACCACTGGATGGCTGGAGATGTACCCTGTNGAGGTGACCATCCTCATCCTGTAATGGGGTGATGTTATTTCTACACTGCCTGTCGCCATTAATGTATTTGGAACAACATTTTTATTGTCCCCCACATTTCTGGCAGCTGCAACTCCAGTTGAGCTTTGGCCACGTGAATTTTCTCCCTACAGCAGCAAGCAAAATCTCTGTATTCTTCCCATATCACCTGACCTTGCTTCCACTGGGCATGCACCTTCCTTTTTTGCCTTATCTCCACGAGAAGATTCCTGTTCAGTCAAACCACCTTCTGCCTCGCCTGCTTGACTCCCAGCATTTGAGAATTGCTGCTCCTGTGCCCTCAGTACAGGACCCCAGCACCCACAAAAACATTTTTGCCAGGGACCTTACTTACTAATTCCCTGAGCAGCCTGAAGTCTACTCTCCTCATATCCAGAGTTGAGGTTTTGCTGGCACTTTTCCTCCTGTCAACAGAGATTTTAAACTCGATTAAGAACGGTTTGGGAATCATGGTGCATTATTTACTGTCCTGAAAAATGGTTGCAGTAGAAAATTATTAATTACAGTGAGATGTTATTGTTTTGATGGCTAAACATAACTGGAATAAGAAATATGCTTCAAAATATAGCAAAAGCAACATATGCATAGTGGTTAGAAATATCTACATCTATTGAAACAGTTTAACCTCATTTTAATGACCTACAGTGCAACTACCAAAATAACCTTCAAAGGTTTATTCGTTATTCTTAAGTTTCTGGATGCATAGAGGCCTAAACAACATAAATATAACCTGACAGAATACTGCAAGTAAAAAAAAAAACAAACAAACCAATAATCTGTATACCAAGATAACTCATATATCCCAGTTAAAGATATTTTCATGGATGAATTTGTAAGAATAGGCATTTATTCCCATGAGACTCATACTGATGAGGTTATGATGCACTGTGTTAGGTCAGGTTAAAGTTTGACTTCTGAAGAGAATTGTTCAGCATTTGTTTCTTTCCCCCTTTACCCCCTCCCCCAGCTTGGATAAGAGCAAGCATAATAAATATTGTGTTACATGAGAATGACTGGTAGCAGGGAGGCTGTTTGTTTTTCTAAGCCATTCTTCTTAGCACAAAGTAGACTGCTTTCTATAAGGTAAGTAGAATGCCTTTTCAGTTAACGAGGTGCCAGTTTCTCTAGGTCTTTACACTTTTCTGAGATGTGAACCTATTCTTTAACAATACAAGCAATACCTAGGCTTGTTAGTCCAGCCTCCCATGATAATATTTCTTTATCCTAATAAAGTGAAAGAACATGTAGTATAATAAGTCACTCTGCAACCAGGTTAACTTAAATATTTTATTAAGACAGAGGCTGTTAAACTGTAACTGCAGTTAGATAAAACAAAACTCAATGTTAAGCATATCAGGATTTTCTGTGACACCTTTCTCATATTGTTTTATATAGTTTTTGTAATACTTAAGGAATATTTCTCTCGGGTGTCACTGATCTCTTTCTTATAAATGCCTTGTGCTAGAATTGTCTGCAATGTACAACTCTAAAAACAAAAAAATAATATACTAAAAGGCTTTAGTCACCTACTAGATCTCAGATAAGCCAATATTAAAACACATTTATGCATGAAAAACTAATAACTACTGATTTAAAGAAATTACATACAACTTGAGAAGCCATTTCTTAATCTTTGCTCATTAAAATAAACTGTGGTATATTATTGCATTTACAATGCTGACAATAGAATTTAGCAGCAATCATTCTGTCAATTTACCTTGCATTCTAGATTTTTATGGCAGTTATGTTTTGAAAATAATTTGTCCTAATCAGATGTGTTATATTTTACCAGCTGGTAGCTGCACCTACTCTCAAGCGTATCCTTAGAGAGGCATTGGGTTAAACACTAAAACTTATACTCATTAGCGCTAACTGAATGTTATTGTAGTGAACATGAAGAGTTGTTGCTGTGGTTCAAACAAACTACAAATCTATGGATCCTTACAATTGCATTGCTATCTATGACCTTATTTATTCTACACAATACAGTATTACTATAAAGAGCTGGTGTTGAAAAATTCATTGAACATAGAAAACTAGCAAATCCTTTCTTATTATTATAGTGCAGGTTCAGCTCATTCAGTGAATGTGTCTTTTGCAATCAGCTTTGGGGTGCCTCAGTACTGCTCCTATGCATCTTCAGCTGGATGCCTCATCAGGAATTAGGAACTCCTGGACCCAAAGGAGGAGAGCAAATCACAAAATCAGGAGCAGTTCTCAAATGTTATGAGTCCCTCAGGATTTGGCCAGATTNAAAAACCTGCTGGTGGGAGAGCTGTTGCAGTCTGGTCAGAAGCGGTGATTGTAGTCCAGCTGAGGTTGAGAGCGACAAGCTGCAGTCTTCCTTCTGGATCCCACGAGTGGTTACCAAAAGTTCTGAAACTCCAGGTTTATATATATTCCAGTTCAGGCAGAAATGGTCAATCCTTCCCTCAGAGCGGGGAGTTCCATAAAAGGCTCAGAGCGGGGACTTCCATAAAAGGTGTGAGGACAAGAGCATCCTCTTATCTCACAGGCTTCTTAACACCTAGCCTGATGAGTCAGGCTCTATGGGCGGAGGGTGTGAACAGTTTCTAGGTAATGGCATGGAAGGCTATAGAATACCATGATGAACTGATCTCAGCTGTCCTAACTAGGACACACTGCCACTGTATGCTGTAACTGTCATGAGCAATGAGGGTGGACTGCTCTGGATACACCAGCTGTGATCTCTTGATGCAGTTTGCAACCAGCACAGCAGCCCTCCTGCCCTATAAGACATCTAGGACAGATAGAACCCACAGTTATAGAATAAATGAACTCAACAGATCCCTTGGAGGGATAGTCATTAACTACAGAGATGATACTTGTGCTTGTATATATTTTTATATGTATTCGTTTATGTATAAAGGTGGAAGGTGGAGGATCTGGGTCTGAGGTGGATAATATAGAAAAAAGGGTGGATAATGTCCTGGTTTCAGCCAAGGACAAGGTTAATTTTTTGCAGTAGCCATAAGGGGGTAGTGCCTGGAATTGTGTGGCCATGTCTAGGTTGTTATTGCATACTCCCCATGTCATCTCTGGGGGGTGGAAATAAGGGATTCTCACTTCCGAGAAAAAGGGGCATGGCTTCGGATGGGACAAAAGCGTGGGTGCAGAGGGTCTGTCCAGCATTTTTTTCATTGTCTTGGAGTCACACTGGGTTAGGTCAGTTAGTGAGCAATTTGCAGGTAAAAACCCGTCTTTTTATACAGTGTTGTTATTAGTATTATTGATGCTACTGTTCGTTTTTCGTATCTCATTACTTTCCAGTAAATTGTTCTTATCTCAGCCTGTAATCTCTGCCTTTTGTCTCTCTCACCAGAGGGGTTGTGGGTAGGGGAACAGCAGTGCAGTTCATAAACTACAACAGCAGTACTCTGCTAACTCTTATATATCTTGTCCTCCAAAGCACCCCGATCACACTTGGTAAGGCTGCTGCCCAGACACAGATTCAAGACTGTATTGGGCTCTTTGGTTATGTTTTCCTAGTGGCAGGAATATGAATAATTTTAATAGAAACAATTGAAAAGGCCATTTTTAATAGATTTTTCTAAAACTGTAAATTATTGTGATTTCCACTAAAGGCATTTTGTTATTAGTAACAAGAAGATCGAAATAATTTTCAGATTGAAAAAGTTATCTGTGGGGTTTTTTTTAAGGTCATACTTTCGATAATAAAATGTCTTTTTCTTAAAAAGAAAAAAAAATTAAAAAAAAGTTCTTTTTCCAAAATAATGAGTGAACAATTTCAAGGAATTTCTAAAGACAACATAGGTTTGGGATTTGTCAATTTGAACACATAGGTACTCATAACCTTCAATGTTTATTCCAGCTGAAGTAACCAATGTGGGAAGCAGAGGGGAGCATCTCAGAAGGGGTAAGTTGGAATGGCTGAAATCCACTGTAGTTTCTGAAAATGTAAAAATATTTTTCCATTAGATTGTGTGCAATTATTATAGTCCAGTTACAGAGGCATAATTAGACTCTATCCATAGAGCAGCTTCTAAATTTTTCAGATGTAATTTTCTGTTGATCTCAATATAACTTATCTTTGCATTATACATATTTCTTTGAATACATATAAAATTGTTAGCCAAAATATACTGTGGTGTGTAACAGACAAATAAAATATTTAAATATATTTCCAAAATAAAGTAGATCCACAGTACAAATGATGCACTTATCAATTGTAATACATTATGTTTTCTGTCTCATTTCAGAAGGTATTATGGTAATAATTTTGGATTTTAGCCAAGTGCTCAGCAGAGGATTTTAAACATCCTCTGAATAGACACATTTAATAGCTTTTAACCGTACAGAGCACTGCTCTTATCAGTGAGTTACAGGAAAATGATTAATACACTTCGGGTAAACTTACACTTGGTCTTCTTTAGGTGCAGAAGGAGGCATCACTAAGGGCAGAAATCTCTAATTATATAAGAGGATATAAAAGACAGCAACTCACAGACATCAGATGCATATTCTGTAGGTCTACACAACAGATGGTGGTGTCTGGCAGTGTCTTTTCTTTTAAACAGAAAAATATTGTTATAAAAATATTCAGAATACATTTTTAGTTACTTAACCAAATGTGTGGATGAATTACTGGGAAATGAAAGCCATGATGTGGTGCAGGCAGGAACAAAAATTTTCTATGAAATCTCATTATTTAGGACTTTTCCACTCTTATGCTGCTTTCAGCTTTAAGACACAAGTATGTTCATGTCCTTGGTACTATCTATTTAAATACATCCCAAACCCGTACATTTTTTGATACATTTAATTTGTACTGTAGTGTATTGGGATATCCTGAATACCTTGTTTTTACCCCTTTCCAATCCATTTCTGCTAAAAAGAATCACTATTATCAGCCACAAAGGGAATTCTCTCTTGCAACCAAAGTCCTCTGAAGGGAGAATCCTCTGCAGACCTACACTTTGAGTGACAAGTTCTTACATGTGTCTCATTATGAGTGGGTTAAATTAACATATATTCTGCCAAGTTGAAGAAAATAGCTGTGGCTAATAGGAAATAGTTCATAAATCTGACTGTGATGAATTTCATCAAGGTGATCCAGTACTTCTGGGGGTCAGATGAAAATATTACAATTATGTTCAAATCTAAGTAAATCCAGTGCATCCGGATTGCTTTTTTGTTGGAACAGCCCCCATCCAAAGAGATCAGCTCTTTCCCCTGCACTGCCAACACACAGCATTAGAGTGAGTTAGAGTGGAAGTGACCACATTGGCTCCCAAGCCATAAATACAGAGCTCTATATGTAGTCAGACACCCCAAACCTGCAGGCGGAATTAATTGAATGAACATTTTCTGCTGAAAGGCTTTTCTCAGTATTAAGATTCTTTCTTTTTGTAAAATTGAATATGACTACCTAATCCTCTTCCTAAACAATAGCTAGAGGAAGATGGCAGTCATACCTTGAGAAATACATTATAGGAGGAGAAGTGAGAATAAAAGATTTACTCTAGTCTTTTTAATTCTTTGCATGCATGTTCCCAACAGTAATATTTAAGTCTGACCATTAAGAAGCTGCATCTTGCATTGTAAACAATTGGGAAAACTTCTGGAGAAAAAATGCTGGGCAGAATGATGTTAGCTTACTCTATTCTTATTTTTTCTGCAATGTCTTGCTGGAGAAATTTAAAATTCAGTTAAAATAACAGGTGAGACAGAATCATTGGTTTCCAATGGGCAACAATGCAATCAAAGAAATGATTCATAAGGCTGAGCACAGAATTTGGAGAACACTGGCTCTCTGTGATGCCTCCAGTTAGACAGTGGCATCTTGTGAAGGATCTTCCATCTATCAAGATGGGAAGAGATTTCAATATGTTAATGTCTTTATTTCAAAGACACAAAATTGAAAGACTAACAAAACAACAAAGCAATAAAGATTCTGAGTCTGTCATCAAATCTTGTAAAACATTTCGTGAAGAGGTTTGAAATTACTCACTATAAAAAAAAGTTGGGGCTAAATGATGACACTCTCCCAGTAAACCTCAGTCCACCTATAACCAAATCTCCTCTTTGTTTTCAACATATACCACTATATATATTATATATCGAGACAATATATACCATGCAATCTAAAAAAGAGCCATGCACCATACTGCTTCTGGTGAAATTAAGGCAACAGTTTCCAAATGTGCCCTTACATCAGGAATGCCCTGCCATGCAGCTCACCACCCTTTAAAAGAAAAGGGCCTCTGATGTAAGCATGGCTTCTAGTCACAGCTGCAGTAAAGTTTGAGATGCTCTTTTGGGCAGAAAGGTCTTGAGCTATTTCGGCATTCATAAATTGATACCAATAGGCACCCTGGGCAGAAAAAAACCCATATGGAACTACCTCACTGAAGTTAAAAAGTACTTTCTGCTGAAAAAATAAAACACAAACAAAACTTAGTGTTAAGAATTTTAGCATATTTTTTCCACTATTGTTCGTTGTGAACAAGCTATACATAGATTTTTTAATTAAATTTTTTAATCAGTGCTTGCAACAATAAATTAACTTCCAGCATAAAAGGTAGAGTTTGTAACCTCAATGAAACCACTGTGCATTCCCTATACTGAAGTGTGACAAGTGGTCTGTAAATTCAAGCTGTTCCTTGTATTTTTACCAACACAGAACGACCAAAAGAACTAAGAGTTCTATAAAAACAATTTACCTAGTTTGCAATTCACAAGCCTTAGATCAGAGTTAGTTCAAGCTAAATACATTAACGTTCCTAAAAATGGATCTTTTCTCCTAATGCACTTGATCAAATGTGCAGAGCTTTGATCAGACTACACCTTAAAGATGCCTTCATATTTCAACTGGTTACTTTTATATCCAAGGAATGGGTACTGACACTTCAGAATGAAACCATGAAAGCCTTTGGAATGTTTTAATTTTAAAAAATAGTTCAAAAGAGGAAAAAACAATACTTTTGCATCTCATACTCAACAACAAAGATGGTGTATGATAGTTCAATACCTCTTTCAGGTCAGAGGTGTATTGAGAAAAACATCAGGGATGATTCTGTCTAGATTTATAAGTAAGCTAAATGACACATACTGCACTTTAATCTTCTTTTGATGCATACAGTTGACAGGAGCTACAAAGGTACAATATAAAGCTTTTGAGTATTTCCCCATATATTTTGTACAAGATGGAGGAACACATCTTCTTCCATAAAATATAAATACTTACATTTGTGCATTATGTATGTGAGGTTATACAAGTGAATAAGTTTCCTAAATCATACCAGAGCTGAAACACAAAGAGGATATACAGCTTGTAGGAAGAAAATCAATTAGCCTGCTACACTAATGATAGCAAAATAAAATCCTTCCTCACTGGGGCTGATTCTAACTTAACTCTCATTTGTCCTGGTATAACTCCATAAATTTAATTAAACGCTCTGAAATTATGTTTTTGAAACAAATACCATATTCTGATATATTCCATTTTATATTAATTTGCTTTTTGTGTTGGCTAGTTTATTTACTTTGCTGCATTCAGGCAGCTAATAAGAAACTGCTTAGAAAGCTATGCAGGTTCAAGTAAACGAGAAAGCAATTCATAAATTACGTTCATTTACACAGAGTTGGGCTTACCACAGTATCTTTATATAGCAACAAATAATACATCCTACATTTTTTCATGGAATCATTTCAGAGAAATTGTATTACAGACATGCCAAGTAATTTTTTTTTTTTTTCTGATAACAGGCCAGCTATGGGTGAGCAACTGGCTTACAGATTCAGAGCAAAGGGTTACATCAGGCTGATGACTGATCATTAGTGGGGTTCCACAGGGCTCCAACTTAGGCCCAGCAATTTTCAGCTACTTCATAAACAACTTGCATGCAGGACTGGAAGGGATACTAAGTTTTCAGAGGATACCAAGTTGCATGGAGTTGTTGTTGACTCCCTGGAAGGCAGAAAGGCCCAGCAGAGAGACCTTGACAAAATAAAGGACTGGGCAATCACCAGCTGTATGGAGTTTAACGTAGATAAGATTCTTCACCTGAGATGAGGCAACCCTGGATGTATGGACAGACTAGGGAATGAGATGCTGGAAAGCAGTGCCAAGGAAAGGGACCTGGGGGTCCTGGCCAATGGCCAGCTGAATATGAGTCAGCAGTGCCCTGGCAACCAGGAGGGCCAACTGTGTCCTGGGGGCATCAGGCACAGCATTGGCAGCCAGTCAAGGGAGGGGATTGTCCCACTCTGCTCTGCACTGGGGTGGCCTCACCTTGAATACTGTTGCAGTTTTGGCCACCACAATGTAAGAAAGATACTAAGCTGTTAGAGATGTCCAGAGGAGGGCAATGAAGATGGTGAAGGGCCTTGAGGGGAAGCCTTATGAGGAGTGGCTGAGGTTTCTTGGTGTGTTCAGCCTGGAGAAGAGGAAACTGTGAGGGGACCTCATTGTCCCTACAGCTTCCTTGTGAGGGGGAGAGGAGGGGCAGGCACTGATCTCTGTGGTGACCAGTGACAGGACCTGAGGGAATCTTATGAAGCTGAGTCAGCAAAGGTTTAGGTTAAATATTAGGAAGAGGTTCTTAATCCAGAGAGTGGTTGGTCAGTGGAACAGGCTCGCCAGGGAAGTGGTCACAGCACCAAGCATGATGGAATTCAAGAGCTAAATGCTCTCAGTGCTCTCAGGCACATGGTGCAACTCTTGGAGTTGTCCTGCGCAAGGCCAGGAGTTGAACTTCGATGATCCTTGATGGTTTCTTCCAATTCAGGATATTCCACGACAATGTTTTAAACATAAGAATGCCTTTTTTTTTTTTTTTTAATCTTGTCACTTGTATCTTTTATCCAAGACATTACAGGACTGCCTTTACTAGTTGGACCTTAATTATGAGCACATAGAATTGCATTGAAGTCACTAAAAACCAATTCATATCACCGTATGAAAGAGAATTATTCTAGGATAGGTTTGATATGTTTGTAATGCCTCATACTGTACAAATACATGAAAATGAACTTCAGTGAGATCAATTGTATCTGTCTTTTGATTAGACCTATTCCATAAAATACTACTTTGAAACTTTCTACAGGAAAATTGCACGTATTCATCTTCAGTATCTGGGTCAATACATCTCAGAATAGAAATAATAATCAAATGGTGAATTTATTTAGTGCTTTGAGAAGGAAAGATTCAGAGAAAAAATGGAAGTTGTTGAGGAGAAAGTCACCACTAACTCTCTATAAGGCTGTCACAGAATAAAGTTTCTGTGAGTTTAGTGAGGAAGGCAAAAAATGATGGAGGGTCTCCTGGGAGAAAAATGATAAATAATGTCCAAGGACAACTCGGCAACAAACTTTCACAAATAGCTAAGTGTAAATAAATCATAATTTTTATTAAAACCATATATTGAATTATTTTCTCAGTTTTGGGGGTATTTTCTTAAGAACAAGAAAACATTTCTTCCATATGAAGAACAAATTTGACAAATCTGACCACACTTAGATCTACATTAGGAGCTACATTAGAGCTACACCAGAGCTTCGTCCAT